TTAAATATAAATTTATTACACTAAAATATCAATTTCACAAAAAATTTGGTCAAAATATAATAATTGCTTGGTCTAAGAGTGAAGGTAATACCCGCACACATCGCTATCCTACTAATATTATAAATGCGAAAGTTTGTGCGGATGTATGTGTGTGTTCTTCTCTACTGATTAACACAAAAACTATTAATCGGATTTAGATGGAACTTTACACTAACAGGTCATACATCAGAATAACATACAGACTATAATTTGTAATGACTAAGTTATTTTGGGCGCAATATAACACAAAACAGCACAAAATGTTAGCCAAATCGGGTCTCTGAGACCTATATCTGCGTAAATTTTCGCATGCACAAACAATAATTAAGTTCTCAAGGACTAATATTAGTATTCAGCTGCATCAGGGATCAGGGATTTTAAAGAAAAAATACGAATTCAATTAACTGAATACAATTTATTCATGGACTAGCCTCTGCCTGCGACTTCGCTCGCATTCTTTTAATGGGATGAGAGAAAGATTTATAAAAATGAAATGGTGCACGATTTTTTGCTGGTCACAGATAACCCGAATATCAATTTTTAGCTTTTCACATTAAAAATTGCAAAATACACCTTTCAAACTTCCACATTTGTTTCAGGGAAGTGGGGGTTAGAAAGAGACAAAAAGTAGCCTATGATACCCTCCATTGTTTCAACTATCTCCAATCAAAAAACCTTTCTGACTCCGTTCTGCTGTGAAAGACGGACAAACAAACAAACAGACACACACAAAGGAGAGGGGGACTTCTGGGCCCACCAGTTAACTACGTGAAATATGTCTAAAAAAAAACCGGTACCTTTAAACAAAATTACAAAATATGGTACCAAGATTCTACCCAGGAAGCGAGAAAACTTAAATTAAGATAATAAGACTAAATGATCGATTAAATAAGCCTTAGTAATCAATTATTAATAAATCGCTAAAATCTGAGAATATTTGGCTGATCTTGTTTTTTGTTGTGTTTGTTATTGTCAAGAGCGCTTGCTCGCTTGATTGCGCGTACGAAGTTGCGGGTAGAAGCTAATATGTATATGAATATCAATTCATTACGGTTTCGTGAAATCGATTTAATCGATTATAGTGTATTTTTTTTCTGACAACCCTTGTGCTTGCGTTTGATTGACAATGACTGACAGATGTATTTGTTTGTTTACTTTCATTCTGAGTGCGCACGTATTTTTCTTATTTTGTTTTGTTTAAACCCACGACCTCGGCTTTGCATATTATAACGGACTATTCGACAGATCTTGCTACTCTGAATGACCTGACTCTCTATTTTGGACAACTGATACACCTATCGATTGGATATCGACGACATGGATCGCTGTATAAATTGTACGATTGCGATTGGTCGCAGTAATCCTATAGGGAGAAAAGTCTTGGAGAATGAGGCGATTTTAACAGTTTTTCATCAGTGGCGAAGTGAGTGATTCAAAAGTATTTCAGAAATTACACAAAAAAATCACAATGTTATACTATAACCTAACTTTTACTATAATTCAAATAAATTGGTTTCTAGGAAGCCAAATTTCTCCAAATTCTCAGTTAAGCCTTGATAGTATATCCTCTTACATAGAAGGCTAATATCATTTAGTTAACACCTGGGCCCAGGAATCTATGGAGCCATTCCCTTCTCCTTTATAATGTGACAAGTGAGTTATCAATGTGTCGTGGTTTTTTTTTTTGATACTATGATATTAATATTTAGGTATGCAAAGAGGTTGACAGCAGCCTAAGGAGATAAAACCAAGAATAAAATATTTTCAGTTAACTTGAATTCATATTTTTTATATATCATAACAACACAGAGCTGAATAATATAATGAATAAAATTAGTCCTTTTCATTATAGACTGTCAAGGCCAAATTTACTATGATAGTTTGGTGTTTTTTTTATGGCATTAGCCGGTAAACGAGCAGATGGATCACCTGATGGTAAGTAATCGGCGTCGCCCATGGACACCTGAAACACCAGAGGCGCTAGAAGTGCGTTACCGGTCTTTTGGGAATTGGGAATTTGAGAATTGTCGGGGATTCGGGGATTCGGGGATTGGGGACACTGGGGAGCGGGGGGGGGGGATTAGGCCTCAGATAATCTCACTAATCATATGGCCTGCCCACCTCCATTTTAGTTTTTTAACACAGTAAGTAACATCCGTGATTTTAGTTTTCTTTCCTATAGTATTAAGTTTTATTTTATCTTTTAATTTAATGTTAAGTATGCTCCGTTCCATATTGTGTTTACAAGTTTCTAACTTATGTATGTTATGGTTAGTTAAGCTCCAGGTTTGGCAACCATATGTCATAACCGGCAGAATACACATATTAAATATTTTGCTCTTTGCTTTCAGTGGCACGAGTGGGTTTTTCATGATCTCCTTGAGGGACCAGTATCTTTTCCATGCCAAAGTGATTCTGTTATTAATTTCTTTTGTTGCCAAATTTATTGGAGATATGATCTGACCAAGGTACGTGTATTCCTTCACGTATTCTATGGTTTTTCCATTGACAATTATAGGGGTGTTTTCCGAGTTTGACATTATTTTGGTTTTCGCCGTTGACAGTCCTACATTATCGCTTTCATACACCAGTTGTTCTAACATCTTTTGTAAACTTTTGAATCTTTGGAAATTATTATAAGGTCGTCTGCAAATCTAAGGTGGGTTAATCGCACTCCGTTGATAATTAATCCATAGTTATCCCATTCGAGACGTCTGAACACGTGTTCGAGAACAGCTGAGAAAAGTTTGGGTGACATGGGATCACCTTGTTTTACTCCTCTTTTTATTGGAAAAAAATCTCCATCTCCTTCAGTTCTTATTTTTGCTTTCATGTTCTTATAAATGTTGGTAATCAGTCGAATATACTTTTTCTCCACACATTAAATTAAAAGATAAAATAAAACATAATACTATAAGAAAGAAAACTAAAATCACGGATGTTACTTACTGTGTTAAAAAACTAAAATGGAGGTGGGCAGGCCATATGATTAGGAGTAACAGGGATAAATGGGGTAAGGACGTAACAGAGTGGTGCCCAAGACAATACAAACGAAGGAAAGGGAGACAGCGTCGTAGATGGGAAGACGATTTCAAAACAATAGCGGGACATAATTGGATGAGACAAGCGCAGAATCGCATCCGATGGCGAGCTCTAGGGGAGGCCTATGCTGGACAGCAAGACAATCTTCATGTACCGGTGTCAAATAGAGGTAATTAAATAAGATTATTGTTATTACAATTATAAGAAAGATTGTTAAATAAAGGCTATTATAAAAAATATAAAAATCTCACAAACAACGAAACACAACGCAATTCTCCTTTAGGTAAGCGTGGGCTGGGCTCGACGCAATTGCAGCGGTAAGTCCCTTCTTTAAAAAGTGGCTTGAGAGACGCTACGGGAGTTTCGGCAGGTTTCTGTTTCGGATTGGGCAGAAGGAACGACCGTGTGTCACTATCAATGCGTGGTATGCTCCACCGTGTCCTCCAGGCGGTCCTCGCCTGTTCACCCCACGCTAGGTACACAGCCACGGCTGTGTACCTTGCGTGGGCTGAGCACCGCCGTGTTCTCAGCGATGCGATGTGGTCAGCGACGATGATCTCTCGCGTTCGGCTCCGCCCTAGCCGTCGCAAGAGACTCTGGACGTCGGAGATCGGCCGGCCACCGGCCACTGTAAGTGCGGGTCTGCAGATGGTGAGCAAGGGTAGCTCGCCATCCGTCCAGAATTAGTCCCGTGCATACGGCGCGCGCCTTAAAGAGCCATCAGACCATCACAGATGGGGTCCAGTAAGGCTCATGCCCGATACGGAGCCGCGGAAGGCCTAACGGGTTGACGGGGCTCCAGTTCGAATAGCAGGAGCAGGCACGGGGTGGTTTTTAGTCAGTCTGTCACTCCCTCTTGTCTAATCTATGGCGGTAGAAGTCAGTGGATGATTTTCACACCCTCAAAAAAATTTTTCTTTAAGTAATGTTAACCCGATGTGTGAAAAACTATCAGAAAAACTCCTTATATTATTGGTATTAATCACGCTGTGTGTGTATTTATGGACAATAGAGCCAACGGATGTATAAAGTCTTAAAGAGGACATTCATATCAACATAAAAGTCCATGTATACGTATCATATGTAACTAACGTAATGCCAGAATACCCATTTTTTTATTTCAAAATTTGCAATAGTAACGTCGCACCGGTACATAACAGGTCACATTATTAGAGAGAGGAAATCCCAAAATGACGGAAATTATGCGCTAAAATACCAGGACCAAGAATGTTGAAATGAAAAGAGACTTACCTTTTAAACCATTGAACCCATTTGGTGAAATTCGGTACAGTAATAGTTTAAGACCCGGGAAAGGATATCTAAAAGTTTTCAACCCGGAAAACCCACGAAACCGGTAACTGTGCGTTAAAATCACTATATCTACTATTTGATTAAAATGCGATACAACGTTGATTTGCAAACGTAGAATAGTTTTTATCACTGAAACCTCACGAGATGGGCACTGTACGGGTAGAACCTCTGTAGGATTGTTTATTTTAGAAACTACGAAAATAAATTCATTTCTCAATCAATATAACCTAGGTATTGAACTACTGAATCGATTGCATAAACTAGCAGCTCCATCGAGACTTGGCTAGTTTTTTATAGAATGTTTTGGTGGGATCACTTGTACAGTTTAAATGCTTTGAGTTGTTTGGTAGAATAATTTTCTTGCGGGATGCCGTGATTGTGAAACGACAGTTTTACTAGAAGTTTTCTGGTTATTGGTTTTGCTGTCCGAAACGTTGTTTATTTGTTTGTATAATTTCGGAGTAATGAGTACCTAAAGTTAAAAATTAAATGAAGAGATCAAATATTCTTATATAATCTTGGTTGGGAAAGCCATTTTAAATAGTTCAGGTTTTAGAAGATGATTAATATTGAAAGCTTTTATCTGTAAACGTATTCCCAAGTATGATAAATGCTAGCAGGTCATGCATCAATCGAAATTAATTGAGGATTAGATAAGATAAATAAGATTTCATAAGACGGAGCGCAGAGTTTCTTATCCGTAGTGATCTAATTTCAGCAAAAGGGTATTGGTGTCAACGCAAATAAATACTTTTGAGAGGTCACAAAAGACATCAATAGCATCCGGTGCTTCCTCCCAAGTACCAAATATTTTTTTCATCAAAGTGACACCGGCGCCAGTTGTGCAACGATCTTTAATATTAAACCGTATTGTTGTTGGTGAAACATAGAATGTTTATTAAAATGATGGAGCATCCGAGACAGCAACTTTTCAAACGCTTTGCTGAGAACCGGCAAAACACTCATCAAAACAGACACTGGCCTATATTGCTTTCGATAGTGACGAATATTTTTTCGACCAAATTTATTATCATCCTGATTATGTCGGGTTAAACTGACGCCTAGTATGGCCTGATTATGACGCCTAAACATATCAACCTATATATTATATACGTACCAACCAGAACATTGGCCACTATTGAGAACGGCGCCAAATACTTCAGATGTCTGATTAAACAAATGAGTATGATAAAAGGTATCAAACAGGCTAGATATATTCGAAGAGACGGATAACCTGGAAAAAAGAGAAACATATTTTAAGGGCGGCATCGATTGCTTACCATCAGGTGATTTCTCTACTCGTTCGTCGCTGTATGACGTAAAAAGAGGGTTCGGTATCTATCTAGTAACACCACCCACTTTTTTTATATTTTGAATGTACAGATTCAACATTTTTAGAAAGAAAGAAAGAAAAACCATTTATTTTTGCGCAGAACACACATAACATAATTAAAAATAAAAATAAAATAAAATATAAGCTAAAAATGAAGTCTTGTCCATGGTCCACAGACTTATTATTTTGCTGAAATGATAGAATACTTAATATCTAATATTATCTGTGGACCATCACACAACAACACCCTACTTCATTTCTAATAAGATACCTCTATAGTTGCATAGTTCATAAAATTGGCTAAAGGAATATATGTTTAACTATAATAAAACAATACGAAGCCATAATAGGTACTTGATTTAAGTGTAACCCATTGCCCTAATATTGTGCGTCATGTATGCGTGCGCAAAAACAGGATATGCTCAGCAATTTCTGCGACTTAAACCTCAAGAGGTTAGCGTCGCAGCGCTGATTTTCAGCACATCCTTAGGTGACGTAATGGCGTCCCGCCAGCTACACTAATATCTACAGTTTTATTATATGTATAGATTATTCTATAGCAGAACTTCTACGCAATATTCCGTCATGGCGAATGGTGTAGCCTATTTTAGTCCAACAGTTAACTTTCATAGGCTTTCATTATTTCTCATTATTTACATAACAGTTACCTAGGACTCGTTCTCGACAGTCGGTGGAACTTCGTGGAGTACTTCCGACGTTTGGCTCCAAAGTTGGAGAGGACGGGGTCTGCGTTTAAGCGCATCCTCTCCAACCTCGGGGGGCCAAATGCCTCCTGCCGGTTTGGCTACAGCTGCGGGTTACACTATCCAAATTTTCACACGATTACCTTTTTTCTGTTATGTTTTCGGTTATGTTCATCATCGATAATGTATGATTCAAACGGTAAAAGATTTTTTATTATAACGGTATAATCTGTCCGGTAGTTGCGGAGCCTATTCAATTCAAACGAACAAACAAACGAAAAATCAAATCTTTCTTTTTTATACTATTAGTGTTGATGTATAGATACTCTACCTTGTCATAATATATAAATTATTTTAACCGATTCTGCGTTTTTTGGTCCATTCATTTTTGGGCATTCTGACACGTTAAAAACATAAGAATAAGTAAAGGATTGAGTGTGGAATGTTATAGTTTTTTTACTTACCGGCATAAGCACCTTCAAACTTAGCCTCTGGAGTATTTTCAACTAGTTGTTTTACGGTCTTTGCTATAATTATTTGATAGCAACAGCAAGACCCAAAGAGATCAACCATTATTATGACGTCTATAATGTACCTGTAAAATAATAAGTGTCATGATATAATTGCACTGAACTGTAAGGAAAAAACAATACACGCTGACATATTAATGGTTGTTTTCCCGCAGCAGAACGATTTCCCTTTAGTAGTACTATCGAATAATGCAAGTTACTTTTTGAAAAAATATTTTTTTTTTCTCCTCATCTACTCAAAAAAATAATCATCAACTCGAAAGCATGAGAAACGATAGTTTCTCTTGTGTAATGTGACGTCAAATCAATGTTCATAGTAAAATAATCTCTCGAACTAAGTAATACAGCATAAACTGCAATGCACGCGCGCGCGAGCGGATCGCCTCACGACAAACAACAAAGGCAACCACCGCGCTCTCTGTCACTCGCATCGGCCCGCATCGCCTCGCATCGCTTTCATTCACACCAGTCAGTACAATATTATTGCCGCCAAAATGGATCGCCATTACGTTTTTTCGAATGTGGAGTACGTAGCTATGGTGCAATTGTACGCGAGGGCGAATTATGATTTTTGGGCTTTTAATAACCCACACGTTATTCGGGAATGTGCGCATCAAGTGCGGTTTAGAGGAAACGTGTGGGCCGGTATAATAAACGGCTGCTTAATTGGTCCGCATTTTGTGACAGGACACTTAACCGGTGAAACGTACCTACAAATGCTACGTAGTGTTATCCCGGACTTACTAGAGGTAGATGACATTTCGTTAGCAGTGCCCATGGATGGCCTGTATTACCAGCACGATGGTTGCCCTGCGCATTATCAGCGCGCCGTGCGAGAGCACCTCGACTCGGTGTTTCCCCAGCGTTGGATCGGTCGTGGCGGGCCAGTGCCATGGCCACCACGAATCCCGGATCTTACTCTACTAGACTTTTATTTGTGGTCTAATCTCAAACGCCTTGTGTATCGGCAAGAGTACGAAACTCGCGACGCGTTAAAAAGTGCGATAGTGGACGCTTTTGATGTGATTAGACGTGACAGAGACACATTATTAAAATTGAAAGCCAATCAGTTAAAACGTGCACGATTGTGTGTGGAACGCGGTGGCTTACACTTCGAACAATTGCTCCGTTACCGGGAAGTGTAAGTACTTGTACATTTGTAAATAAAACAATAAGATAGGTGATTAAAATCATTGTAAATACGTTGATTCCCATTTTTTAAATACGCCATAAATACTTTCCCAAATTCAGTAATAAACAAGATAATATCTCTTGATTAAATTTTGTTTTATGTTTGTGTTTAGTAAGTGTAGTTAAAAAGTATTTACGACGGTCCTAAGCCCGTTAAAGTATGAAGGGAAAATGGAAATCACTTGTTAGTAAATACTGAGTTATCAGCCTTTTGATAAGCGCGAGCGACAATGACAGCGGCCGGTGGCCGGTCGCGGCGGTACTATTGGTTCGCGGTTTCTTTCAAGTTTCGTGTATCACTATCGTAAAACTGCTATTTTTTTATTTAAATTAAAAACAACTTTCTCAATCTATTGTACTACTAAAATAGAATCATTTTACTGTGGGAAAACAACCATTAAAATATCACGGTGTATAAAGGCGTCACAACGTTGGAATCCTACATTATCTATGAATCTGATGAACATAGGCTATATTTAATAAGAGAATAATAAGGGAACCATGTGAAAATTTCGAAAATTTACCATATGTGTGAAAAATCTACCAAAAATATTGTTTAAGCTATTGACTGCTAAGAGAAAACTGGGATGGCAAATATTGTTGGTTTTCAAGGACTTATATTACTATTCATCAGCACGGCTTCGGCTTCGTTTGCGCAAAAAGAAAAAGAAATGGTACAAGATATTTTCGCTGGTCACAAATATTCCGCATACTAATTTTTAGCTTTCTACCTTGAAAATTGCGGAATGCTCCATTGAAACGTCCACCCCCAGTTTTAGGAAAGTGGTGGGTTAGAAAAAGATAAAAAGTGACCTATGTTAAGAACTCTCCATCCTTTCGACTATCTCCAGTAAAAAAACTCGTCAATTTCGTCGTCAGTAAAAAAGCTCCGATCTGTCGTGAAAGACGGACGAACATTTTCAACACACACAATTTTCTATATTAAGTACCGATTTCTGACAATGATATTTTTGACAATGAGTTTACAGAGTCAATGCATCAATGATATTTTTTTGTTATCACTATAATTATTGACGTTAACGTATGCAAACAGGTTGACAGCAGTCTAAAGAGGGAAATACAATCATGAATAAAATATTTTCAGTTAAGTTGAAATCGTATTTATTCATATATCAAAAAACTAATTACACATGGTAGAATACTAATATTAGTCATTGACAACCGATTGTATTTCATTTTAGTACGTCGATACCAAATTTACCATGAAAGTTGCCAGTCTCCTTCATGTACAAATCAGGCCACATTAGTAGTGCCAGAGTATTAACTCGGAAATCCCTAATCCCTCTATGTTTTAAACCACTGAACCTATTTGATTGAAATTCGTTTTAACGATAATTTAAGACACTGGCACCGGAAATCCCACGCGACAGTAACTATCACAGAACATATAAAGAAGGTTAGAAAGGAAATAGTTCCTAATTTGTATCAGAACACGCGTCGCCGTTTGTCCCCCACTCTTTAACTTTACTACAAGCAAGAGACCAATTCCTACGCGGAAAATGCACACAAATAAACAACACGCACTAGGTTAAACGATTTGCTATTGGTCGTCACACTGACGCAATCTCTTCGTTTGACATACACTCATACAGGCGTAAAAAACTCATGTTTGGTAGGGGGTGCGAAAGATCGATTATTGATATCGATAAAATTATTGGCATCTAGCTTCTTACTTTACATGTATTGCGGATTATATCGACTTGTACATATAAGGCATATTGTGTACATGTATTGACGCTAATATAAATAACTAAACATAGAAAAATACATAACTGATTTTTTCATTGACCAATTTTATTATTAACACTAGCTTCTGCCCGCGACTTCGTACGCGCAATCCCGATATTTCCCGTACCCGTTCTTGATTTTTGGTAAAAAGTAAAAAAAAGAAGTCCGTCTCCTGGTTCTAACCTACCTCCCCACCAATTTTCATCAAAATCGATGTAGCCGCTCTTGAGTTATAAATAGTGTAACTAACACGACTTTCTTTTATATATATAGATTACAATAATTGAACATGGAATATTATAAATAAACTGTTGATTGGTCGTATTCAAAGAAGTATAAAAAACGGAAAAGGTATAATTTCGATTTTCTTTCGTTTTCAACTATAAGTTTTATAAAAATAAAAGGAAACCGGGAAGTCATGGGGTCAAAAATAATAGATTTTTCTTAATTCAAAATATATAAAAAATAGCGTAATTTCTCCCTAAGGAATGAAAAATCATAAAATAATGAAATATTGACTAATAACATAACGTAATCATATCATGCATTCAAAATTTCTTTTGATTTTTGGTCTTTGATAGCATAGCGCCCTCTCGTGGTTGTTGACGAACGCACTTAGCTTACTAGTATGATGCTTTTATTTTTATTATATCTTTAATGAGCTACTACCTATTATTACTTTACTAATTGTTTGATGAAGTAGTTCTGACGCTGACCGTGAGATGGAGCTTCTATAAAAAACTGTTTTGTGATTATTTTAAATATGACTTGTGGTTTTTGTGGTTTTTGTGGTATTTTTAGGTTATGTCAGTTTCATTTTTGTTTGCTTATTAGAAGTAGAAACTAACCCAATATAATAAAATGTATATATATCTGGGTCCACTTCACCAATTAATCTCAGATCTTCTTGTTAAACACTGAGTAAAAGAATGCTTGTTGTTGCTTCTAGTGTCACTTACATTTTGAATGTGTGTATCACTTTTTAATTTCTCACTGAATTTATACACTTTTTGAGTACTTTTTCAACTAACAACGTCTATTAACTTGCTTATATGAAGTTTTACACAGAGCCGAGCCGAGCCGAGCCGAGCCGAGCCGAAAACATTTAAAAATGACTTGGAAAACCAAAGACAGGAAATCCGGAAAACAGGACAGATTGTTACGGAGCAAGGCACACAGAATATCAGCCAAAAGTTCGATGAAAAGTAGCTGGCTATAGAAAAAAAAATATCACGTACCTAAATCTAAAATAAAAAGTCAAAAATCAAAGGAAAAGGCTAGACAGAAAAACGGGCAAGGAAAATCAACCTAATATTCTTCGGCATAGAGGAAAATGAAAAATCATACGATAATTTAAAAAGGAACCTTATTATTTGGTTAGAAAATTACCTTTCTATAAACAAGCTTCAGATGCATTCTAGAAATAAAAAGAATAGAAAAGAAAGAAGGAAAAATACGCCCAATAGTAGTGACTTTCTCAATTCTAGACACCAAAATAAAAATTATGAAACAAAAAAGAGCTCTAATGGGTACAAACTACAACTGAACACTAAAGAGGACTACCCAAAACACATTTTAGAGAAGAGAAAAGAACTGCAAGGACAACTTATACAATTAGATAGAGAAAATGGAAATATAGCAAAAATTCAATCTGATAAACTGATAATATCAAAAATCAACGCAAAACGCAAATTGCCACCCGAAAACACGACTGCATCAAATATAGAGAAAAATCCACAAATAACTAGAATGAAGAAAAAACAGCAACTAAACGAACCAATCAGGAGGTCGAGCAGTTTCTCAGAGGGAGTCACAAAACAGGGAATACTAATTTATGTAGTCAAAAATACACCAAATACAAATAATATCCAGAACAATCAACCATAGCCACAAATCGCGTCCTCCTCCTCCGGCGTAGAACAAATTTTAAAGCACACAAATAAAAACAATAAACATAGATAACCTTCCAAGCCAGCTGCTGGTGACCATGGAAGAGTACGACCAAAACCCTCCCATAAACAAACAAAACATTTTTTTTATACTTTTATACTTCTTTTATTGCATTAAAAAAAAACTTTAGGTTTATACTTGGTTCATTATTTGAACAACAAAATATTAATTCTTGTTAGGGCATAAATGAACACGCAGGTTTTAATTACTTTAAATATGATTTCTTATAATATTTGTACATAAACAGTTTATACGCTGCTAGCGACACCGGCCATAACTTTGCGACACTCACACATATACATCTATCTAAACACTCAAACAATACATCTATGCGCAGACACAGACTCACATCTTCGTACACCTCAATAATTCATCCTTACTAATACCTCTATATTATTTATAAATGGGAAAGTGAGTTTGTTTGATTGTTCCGCTTTCACGCCATAACTACTAAACCGATTGCTTTCAATTTTTGCAGACGTAAAGTTAGAAGTCTGGATTAAATAATAGGGTAGGTACTTTTTATCCCGTAAAAAATTGATGTTCCCGAGAGAAAATAAAAGCATTGGTATAGATGGCGCTGTATGTGTTGGTATGTCACACAGGCTACTTTTTATCCTTTTGTGACGCGAGCGAAGCCGCGGGTGAAAGCTAGTAAGACAATAAATTATTTTACTATCACAAGAACATTATACAGATAAAATTTGCTATTTACAGTATATCAATTGGTCGTAGTTTCGGAGATAATATAAAATAACTAAAACGCAAAATGACCCCAGCATAACGTTCATGGTGCAGACGTTTTACCTATTTGCCCATAGATGGCGATCAGCAATTAGGTTATTTTTCTGAATCGCGGTGTTTAGACTTTCCGTGGATTGTTGAACCTCTCGAATTATCTAACGTTGTCGTTAGTTGGAGTGCTAAATATTACATATCAGTTGCTTATTGGTTTCGGTTGTTTCGTTCGTATGGTTGTTGCTGTTGATAGATGAGGTATTATTATTCAATTATGAAATCGAAAATATTGTAATTTCGTTGTACGTTTGTTTTGTATGTTCGTAGTTTCGTACTTCGTTCTATCGTAATAATCGATACGAATTATTCGAAATGACGATTGTATTGTTTTGTAAAGGGGGACGGTGTTCGAGTCGCTCTCCCTTTGTTCATAATTGTTTTCAAGTCTGTGCGTAGTTTGCCAAGAGCATGCCTAAAAGGAAATCTCAACTGTCCCGACAGACATCACAGACAAGAGCCGCTCGAATACGCCGTACGGAAGAATCTGCCCCTGAGAATAGCAGTCTCTCGAGAAATAGAGAATGAATCTATTTCACAAGCACGCGCTAGAGAATCTAGCTCCGAGCGCTCACAGCGCCTCACTAGCCAAAATGTGAGGACGTCACGGGTCGCGGACCGTGCTCGAGAAACTAGCGCTGAACGTGCGCACCGTCTATCCGAGTTTAGGCAGCATGTCTCTGAGACAAGGGATTTTTTTTAAAGGGGGAAAATCATCGACTGACTGCTCCCGCCTACTCGAGGCGGGAGGGAGTGTCAGACTCTTACTGACTAAAAACCACCCCGTTCCTTCTCCTGCACGTCGAGCCGGAACCCCGGTAACCCATTAGGTTCTCCGCGACTCCGAATCTTATGGTGGTGTGGTATAAGTGGTGGTCTTATCGCTCTTTGAGGCGCGCGCGGAACGCGACCCGCCATACGCTCCGGTCTGTTTCTGATCAGACGAGTAGCCATCCATGCTCGCCGTCCGCAGGCCCGCGCTTACGGTGGCCCGAGATCGTCCCGCGATCTTCGATCGAATGTACTTCGCGATGGCTGAGTTGCGAGGAGGCAGCGCTTCGCTACCTCACGCATCTGCATCCTGAGACAAGGGATAAGGTGACTAGCGCTGAGCGCTCGCAGCGGCTTGGTAGGCAAAATGTCATAATATCGCAGGCCCGTGCTCGGGAATCTAGCGCTGAACGTGCGCAGCGTCTGTCTCATTTAAGGCAGCATGTCTCTGAAACAAGGGGACTAGCGCTGAGCGCTCGATAAATAAATAAATAAGTAAAAGGCGACTAAGGGTTAAGTTACCTTGAGCAGAAAAGAGAACTTCGGTAGTCTTTGAAGTTACTGATCTGACTCCAAAAATATTTTAGGTACTAATAAAATTAAATATAAATTATAATATCAATCGAGTGAAACTGTCCGCGGACGAATTCGCGGGCAGAAACTAGTCTGTCATAAAATTGTAAACAGCTTAGGTAACATAAGGTATTTGTTACGGGTTTAAAGACTAACTTTCGTTTAAAACTTGTGGCACCGACTTCTTATCTATCAGTGGGTGGGTAACCTATAAGTACATGTGATTAATAATAGTTATTTTTTGCTTTTTAATTATTACCTTTTGCTTGTTTTTTTGTCTACAACCGACATAATATTAATGATATAATCACAAATATCTCAAGTATATTATTGTTTTTGGACTCACTGGTGGAAAGAAATCCATTCTCCTGCTACATTGCACACCTGGCTTCTTTCCTGACACATATAATAGTCCAAGACGGCATAATTTAATATTATTTGCCGAGTTTCGTACGCTGTCACAACAAAATCGCGTTTAACGACCGGTTTTGGACATTTCGGTTGATTGTGAGAGTTTGCTCAGGCGCGCATGTACCGCCCAAAAGGCCCTTTTAATCTTCTTTTTATGTTCTGTGGTAACTACGCGTTAAAATTCCCAATCGCTTAGACTACGGAACCTATATGAGTACAATTCGTTACAACGATAATTTGAGACCTGGAAAAAGATGGATGATAGTTTTCAACCCAAAAAAAAAATCAGTAACGGGAACTGCGTTATACTTCTGGGTCTCTCTACATAACATAACATCACGCCTTTTATCCCCGAAGGGGTAGGCAGAGGTGCACACAGAAGTAACACCCACTTTTCACTATTTATGTTATGAGTCCCATGTAATAGGGGGTGAGCCTATTGCCATATACCGGGCACATTTCCAGACTCCGTGCTACTACTGAGAATTTTTTTTTAAAAAACCTACTAATACTTTGCCCGACCCGGGAATCGAACCCGAGACCCCTTGCTTGCACTTGCGACCACTCGGCCAACGAGGCAGTCTGGGTCTCTCTATCTTTTAAAATATTAAATCTAATTAAGTGGAATTCAATGCGATAGTTTGGAACCGGAAAAGGATGTATGAGAGTTTTCAACCGATGTACAAATTTTATAGGAATTCGGCACAATGGTTTGCAACCCGGGAAAGGACATAGTAGAATAATTTTTATTACTGAAACCTCACGGGAACGAATATTATACCGGTAGAACCGCTGTGGGGTGTTATATTTTATGAAATCACGAAAATACATTTATTTCAAAATAAATATTATTAATTAGGTACTAAATCGATTCAGATGAGGTTTGTACACAGCATTGGAATTAACCCTGGAAAAGACCTAAATCTAATTTCTGCCAAAGCCATTATTGTACGCGAACGAAGTCGCGGGGGAACAGCTAGTAAAAAAATATTAAAAAAGAATTTAAGGACTAACCTGAACAATTTTGAAAATTTAGCCAAAGACTGTTTCGGAAACATCATCAAGGAAGCTTCACCTACATCAGCGTACGACATAACTGGTATCCTTGTTCGTTTGTAAATAATTATTGTAGATTGCACAAGTAACTGAAACAATATTTACATTTTATTTTCACTTAGGGTTCATACGCACCATGCGGGTAAACGCATTGCGGCTAGCCGTCCGGATGACCGCAAGCACAATTATGTACGTAATATTCATTTCTATGCGCACTCTGTCGCTCGGAGGGCTCCGGCCCGAGTGACGGCCAACCGGACGGTTACTATACGCACTGTGCGGTTCAGTCTGCGGCTGCCCGCCATTGAATTCGATGCTTGCTCTCATCTCGTGTTTGCAAATAAGGATGCACCCAGTACTTCTTTCTTTGTTTTTTCTCTTTATGTAACGTGTGTAAATGTAGTAAATAGCTGAAACTTCTTCCACGTCCATCTTTGAAATGGATCGAAATGACTGCAGATCGCAACGGTTCATCAACCGCACGTTGCGGTTGCGAATGCGGCTGCTCGCGATCCGGCTGGCCGCATTCGCAACCGCATGCTGCAGTCAGCTAGACGGCTAGCCGCAATGCGGCTACCCACATAGTGCGTATGAACCCTTATACCTACAGGGTGCCCCTGGAAAAATGAATCAAAAGAGGTTTCATTCCCTAACTTTTTGAATGTAGAAATGTTGGTCCGATTCATAAAGGTGCAAAAGTTACGACCAGTTTTCGTTTTGTTTTTAACAAAAATCTACCTTGGTGATGATGCTTTCTTTAGACTTCATACAAGTGTCGATGTCTCTTATCACCATACTTAACTCAGTAAGATAACATGAATTTCATAAAAAAAACTTTTCAAATCGAAAAACTACTTACATTATAAATAACTAATAATTAAGTGTAATAGATCACAGTGTGGAGTCAGGGAAAACTATAATATATCAATTGTAAATATCAATTAATACACACAAATGATACACATTAGTTATCAATGTGGTTATCATTAAATATATGTACATTAAAACATAACGTAGAACATTATATTTAATTATTATTTATCTAGGCACATTACATAAGAAGTTAGTGATTTTATTAGCGAAGACGTCGTGATTTAGCCACTTACTAAATTTGGGATGATGACGCTGATAATGAGGAAGATATGTGAATGAATGAACATTACTCACGTAAAGACAGTATCCCATATAAACGCCGCAAAAAAGGTGAAGCGGTAAGGATATGAGTATGCCACCCTTCATGTAGCCTACGTGGCAACTGAGGATTCCTCCTCCCAAAGCTCCTTTCACAAGATGTGCAATGGAACCAATTAAACTGAAAAAAAAAAGATAAGGTTAAGGGACACGGCGTATTTTATGCGCAGGTGACGCGTATATTAGAACCACGCGTCACGGGCGCCGTACACACTGATGAATGTCGCATTATCATTGATGCAATGCGATGATAAAAGCGAGCGCTTAAAGCGTGTATACGCACGTTGAAGCTATACAAACGCGCGTACAAAGAATGGAGTAGGAGCAGAAAGGGGAGGTTTACACGACGTTTCTTATAAATGAATTACTATTGAAGCCCGTGAAAGTGACATTGTCTCATCTGACGCCATTTTACAACTGGAGACTGGAGGAGGCTCTGACCAAAACGCAAAGGTGACTAGAGACACATTTTACGAGCGGCCCGTGTTCCTGTGCATTGTGCATTTTTTATACCACGACGGTAGCAAACAAAGCACACGGCCCTCCTGATGGTAAGCGGTTACTGTGGCCTATGTACTATTGCAACAGTTGGGGCATTACATGCGCCTTGCAGACCCTTAAAACGTATTCACTTCCCTCCCTGTTTAGGCATTTAGTCATAATTTTGGGATGTACTAAAAGTATCACTAACCTGGGTCTAATGTATTTATGAACGAAAGTAATTACCTGGTTAATTTGGCATTGGTTCTTGCTTTGATATAATCGTAGGAGTCTTCGTCTGCTTGCGACGCAGTTAGATTCACAAAATGTCTACTGGCGCTGACTCCGGGTGGAGGAGGTGGTTTTTTAGGACCCTAGTGGAACAAAATAAAAATATCTATAAGTTTTATATATTTGACGTTCATTATTATCACACAAAATACGTAATAAGGCGGGAGCAGACGCGCGAGGCGGCGCAACGACGGCGCGTATGCACAGTGTGCATGAACGCTTAGGTATAATCAGGTATTCAATAATTAAAAATTTAGTACAAAATAATGTTTAAAAAATTGAATAAAATACAAAAATAACTTTTTCCGTAAGTGAAACATCGTATATCATTCAATATCATAAAAATTAAAAATATAACGGGAAGATATTATATTTATATGGGTAGAATTATGTAGCTCGATCGTTCATTATTTGATTTATTCAATGTTTGATACGCGTTATTTTCATTTTTACTCTTGTTTTTGACTTAATTAATACGTAGATAGGTATACCGACACGAAAATGATATTAGGTGAGTACAAAAGGGAACAGATCCTTGATCATCTTTCCTTGTGAAATAGTTAGTAAACGAGCAGACGGATTTTCTGATGGTAAGCGGTCAGCGCCGCTCATAGACACCTTCAACACCAGAGGAGACACAGATGCGTTGCCGACTTTTAAAAAGTAATAAGGTCTTTTCTTTAAGGCCGTATCGGTTCAAAAATACCACCGACGACAGATCATTCCACATTTTTGCTGTGTGAGGCAGAAAGTTACGAGAAAAGCGCACCACATGGGGATGGGGGACCATCGAGTTACTACTCCCTCCCGAGTAGGCGAGAGTAAGTTTCTACTCTTACTGACTAAAAATCACCCCGTTTCTACTCCTGTACTTCGAGCCGGAGCACTGGCAATGTGTCAATGGCACAGTGTCATAATTGGGTAATTGCAAACTAGTCAAAAATGACAGTTTTCTATGAATTTCGGAGAGCTTGTGTATTGTGACGTCACGTTTTTTTTTCACGGTCAAATAGCATAGGTACTTATTACATAAAAATATGCTGAATAATACTAAAATAAAGTTGGTCATAAAATCAATCAATCAAAGTGTGACTATATTTCAATATTTAATAGTATCGAACAGTCGAATACAATTTATTTTTGATTAAGGAAAGTACCCAATTATAATATTGTCATCCATTTTACGTTGTACAAAATGTAATTATAGATAGCAATAATGAATGCTTTATATTTTTTTTATGGGATAAGCTGGTAAACGAGCAGACGGATCAGCTGATGGTAAGCAATCGGCGTCGCGCATGGGCATTGGACACCTGGGACACCAGAAGTGTTATAAGTGCGTTACCGGCCTCTTGGGGATTAGGAATATTAGGATTTTTGGGGATTCTGTGCAGCCGTGGTATCACTCCGATTGAGCCAGCCCATTCGTGCCGAAATATGGCTCCCCAACACTAAAAATTGTCTTGATTACACAATAATGATACAATAATATCGATTCGATATAAATATCGATTAATTTTAAATTGATCACAAAACTTCAAAATAATTTGATATTAGGACTTTACAGGCTGGATAATATACTGGACATTTATATCTTTTCTACTTATTTTTTTATAATGCATTATTCTAGCATAAAAGTACAATAAATTAGTGCGTACGAAATTATGAGTATAATCGATTTATATCGATGTTTTTACACGATTTTATCAGCACCATATATTATAGTAAAACTTCAATACAAATATCAAACGTCATCTATAAAAACCGAGATCCCAAAGCAATTAAAGGTAGTATTGGACTGGAAGTTAATCTATTTTTTTTTTCATATTTATGGATCGGCGTTTGGCCAGTATCGCCTGGTGGTGCGGCCACCTAGTCGATAGACATCACGGTACCCTTCAGGAAACATAGACTCTGACGTAGAATTCTAAATTCTGTGTAGTGCACAATCACCCCTACGCTCAGCTAGTGACTTAGGATCGCATTTAGGTTATCCCTCGATGTTTAAACGACTGGACATTCATCTAAAGCCGTTTTTCACAATTTTCTATAAAATAACATATTAAATAAAAGGAATCAGTAACTCACCATTTCCTAAACCCTGTAGAAAAAATTATAATGTGTAAAAACGTCTTCTAAAATTATTCTCGAAATCCAAACTATTCTGACACAATATTTAAACAATTGCCTAGAATGTTTCTTCTAGAAAAACGTAAGCAAAGTCACGAAATATGAAAAAGTTTGGTTATTTATTCTTTACGGCCTGGCCATAAAGTTCACCATCTTTATTACTTCTTTTGTCGCCTTAAAATATTCAACCAAAACTTAAATCGATAGCATCCATATGTTGATTGGGCTCGCTGCCATTGCAGCGGTAAGTCCCCTCTTTGAGGAGAGGCTTGAGAGACGCTACGGCGAAGACACCGTAGGTGAGGACACCTACCGCGTAACGCAGGTCCTCACCGGACATGGTAGCTTCGGAAGGTACATGTGTTTGATAGGGCGGGAGGAAACGCCCGGGTGTCATCACTGCGAGGACCGCCCTGAGGACACGATGGAACACACAGTAAGGAAATGCCCTACGTGGGTTGAGCACCGCCATGCCCTCAGGGATGTGATCGGCGACGGCGACCTCTCGCGTACGGCCCTAGTCCGGGTCATGATGCGGAGCGAGGGGGACTGGGATGCCGTCTCCTCCTTTTGCGAAGCAGTCATGCCAGCGAAGGAGGAGGTGGGGCGCATGAGACAGCGAAGCGCTGCCTCTACTACTACACACAACCTGGCCTACACAACCCAGCCGTCGCGACGTACACTCCGGGCATCGGGGATCGCGGGACGATCTCCGGCCACCGTAAACACGGGCCTGCGGATGGCGAGCATGGGTAGCTCGCCGCCCGACCAGAACCAGAGACGAGTTCTGCGCGCGCCTTAAAGAGCTATCAGACCACCACAGAGGCCCAATAGGGCTGATGCCGATACGGAGTCGAGGAGCCGTGTAGAACTTAATGGATACGGCTAACGCTTCCCCGTGTTTCTCGATGGCCTCGCTCCAGATATGTATGGCATACGCAAGAAGGTCCCCAGTAGATCGGTTTCGGCGAAACCTTCAAGGTATGCCAGGAGCCTGTTATTCAGTATACGTTCCATACTCTTACTGAGTATGGACGTGTTCGAGATAGGTTTGTAGTTACTAGGGTCGGCACGGCGGCCTTTTTTAGGCACAAGTTGCACGTTGGCAAGCTTCCATGCCTTCGGCACTTGACCAGTCTCCAAAGATAGGCGAAACCGACGTGTCAAGATTGGAGCTAACTCAAGTGCTCAAGTTTTCTGTACTACGGCCGCGATTCCGTCGGAACCACTGGCTTTGTTCACAACCAGGTTGCGCAACGTTCTGTAGACCTCCTTCTGTCGAATACGAATGTCCGACATGTTAGTCTCGCATACTCGGCGTACATCAAGCCTTGAAGACTCCGCAAAAAGAGAGGCAAATAAGTTCGCTTTCTCTATTGAGGTTTGAGCCAGCATCCCATCAGACCTCAATAGCGGTGGGGGTGAGAGGCTACAGAAGTTCGATTCCACCGACTTGGCCAGGGACCAAGAAGCCTTACTACCCGTTGGGTAAGAAGCAAGTTTGGCCCCTATATTGTACACATAGCCCAGACAAAACAATATTACGAACAAGGTGCACGCACGCGCCATCGATAACTTAGTTGCATAAATATAAGCGTTAAGGTCATCGCGTACCTAACAAGCACGGTGCAACCCAGCAATTGACTTGTATTTTTCGCAATATCAATAGTATCAATACCTTTGTATTGGTGTAGTTGAGGCGAAACGGCGCGGCGGCGCGCTTCCACCTCGCGGCGCCGTCGACGGCGAGACAAACGCGGCCACGATACAAAACGTCGCATCGTAGATAGGTTGGTTGGCTATACTTTATTTTCTTCTATAAGGGCGGAAAATCATCAAATGACTTCTCCCGCCCGGGTGAGGCGGGAGGGAGTGTCAGATTCTTAAGGCTCTAGACAGACGAAATGCATTTCAACTGCAATCCTACCGCAAATATGCAGTTTGGATGAAGTTTGAATGCAGTTGACACGACTGCAATAAAACTGCAAACCAATCGTGCAGTTCAATTGCAGTCGGTGTGCAGTTCAGACGACTGCACGCCGACTGCGGGGGCCCGGAGCGTTAAAGTAGTTCAGGTAGGTATGCTGCAGTTCGGATGCAGTTTTAATGCAGGTGAAATGCAGTCCGTCTGTCTAAAGCCTTACTGAGTAAAACCACCCCGTTCCTACTCCTGCACTTCGAGCCGGAGCCTCGGTTACATTTTTGTTGACTACCTATACTTGTGGTTGTGGCAACAAAAAAAAGCTTCCACTTCGCGGCTGGCGCGCCGTGAGCGCGCTGGCGACTAGCTGTGGGCAAATTGGAAACAACGCCGTGCCTCACAGGACCGTGCCGGAGCCGTGCTTTAGATATGCGACTACCTTTAGTCTGTTGTAATCCATAGAGCATTCATACAATTTACTCACACTAAACAATTATGACTGTGTCCTGTCGGGACTTGGCGGGTTCGAGAGTTCGAGATAGTAAATCTCTCCCTTGCTCTGCCTGTTTTTTTTACAGACTGACCCATTTGATGTATTTATTTCTACTCTTGCAGGGCTGCAGGAAGAAATCCCATAAGGGATATGCAGTACCTATGTACCTTTGTATTGTTATTGATTTTTCCCTGTGTATTGTCTGTGTTGTTTGTGTACATTAACTGTAATAACTGTAACTGTATAAATAAATAAAGCGTTGACACGTGCGGAAATCGAACTCGCGATATGTTGCGCTGCAGCCGGTTGCCCAGATTGCACGGTTATAGACTGCACGGTTGGCGCGGTGGTTGGATAACTGGCTGCCGCGCATCGAGTCGCGGGTTCGATTTCCGTACGGAACAACTCTTTGTGTGATCCACAGATTGTTGTTCCGGCTCGGGGTTTCATGTGTATGTGAACTTGTATGCTTGTAAACGCACCTACGACACAGGAGAAAATCATAATGTGGGGCAACGTTTAAAAAAAAAGATACCGTCGAGTACCAACCGTGGCGTCATATTATAAAATACTTGTACCTACATGTGGTAACGGATGCCCTGACTTATAAATTTCGATGCCGCGGCACGCTGATACGCCCTCATGCCACTTCTCCTGGTTTTTTATTTTTCTGTGATGACAGCAAAGTAGATATGGACATGTATAAAATCAGAACTTTGCAGGAGAGTTCGTTGAAATGTTGCAGGAGTTTTGCATTTGTGAGAGGACGCAATTTTATTTTTGGGCCATGTGTAGAGGTCAGTAGAAGCTTAACCTAAAGAGTAGGCGTTCGGCTCTGTGATTGTTTGGTTCATTGGCGATCCAGAGGCGGCCAATCACAGCGCCGAACGCGAACTCGTTTCGAATACTTTAAACGTAAATGTTTCGTACGATCTTTCCGCAGATTTAACAGACAATATATTTTGAAGAGCAAAGCCTTTGGCACCGACTCCTAGCCCCAACTGGGGACCCAAATAGGTTAGGTTGCGGTCTGCCGTGTCACTATTAGTGGGACTCTCGACCAATGACGGGCAATAATGCGATCGAGCTCACTTCGAAAGTTTGAATTGACAGTTCCAGAATAGCCTATCTGAAGTTTTGGCTGACGGGTCAGCAAATTTCTAGCGTCATGTACCATATAAATATATCCACTTACAAGTGACAAGGTGGAAAGATGACCTTAGACACTTAGTTTTTGAATGTGAAAGTCGTCAAATGAGGCATCCCAACTTAGGTACCCACCTAAATATCCATGAAAATTAATCAACATAAAAATGAGTGAGTGTAAATAGCTTTCGAATTATTTACGGTTGTCGTAAACACTTACTTAGCAAATTGATTTCATGCATCGTGAAACAATCATGCCAGTCTGCAACAATATTTAGTTCAAAAGGCATTACCAGGCTATTTGTACAAAAATATGTTACGATGACGAGATTATTGACACTCCTGCTTGTTTTATTTGTATTCAATTCGTTGAACATTGCTAAGGTAATTTTAATAATAGCGTACCTGTGTTTATTATGTACTTATTAACATTATGTTTACCTTGATACATTCGTTTTGTTTAGTCAAAATTACTATTCAAGGTAGTGTACAAATAAACTACGTTATATTTTTTTTACGAATAGTAGATAATTAATCGGCAACGTACTTGTGATTCTTCTAGTGTTGCGTTTGCTTGTTTGCCTGCTATTCCATAAAATACTTTTCATTTACTTAATCAATGACTTTAATCTGAAGTTATTTTTATTTCAACTATTCTATTCCCTTTTTTATAGGCAAATTCAGAAGAAACAACCAATAATAACGGAAATACTAATAATAACAACGATGACGGAGGTGAATCAGATTCAATACAAGTAGTTCAAAGAGATGCAGTAACAAATATACCCACCCTAAATGATATTCATGAGGAAAAACTTCAAGAAGATGATACAGATACTGCTTTACAGCAAGAAATGATGAGAAATATCGATACAACTGAGGCAAATACAAGGTATGACAAGATTTTTGATCAGATGAATAATGACTCTACTGACACAGTATTGGAAAACCCAGAGGATAACATCACAGAGTTATCTTTACCTGCTGACACTTTCACAGAAATGCAAAATGACGAACATAATAAAAAGGAATCTAACAATAATAAAGAAGGTATAAATCAAACCGATATCAATGATGAAAAAAGTCAAGCAGATAATGTTAATGCTGAAAATAATGATTGGAGAAGTGCTGAGAAATCTGATGCCTCAGGAGAGAAATTTTCAAATGAAGGAAATGTACCGCGTGCAGAAACTAGTATCGAAGGTGACCTTGAAGAGCTTAGCACTGAAGGATATTTGGATAAGAAAGTTAGTGGAAGTTTTGAGATACCAGAGCAAAGGCAGCCTGAAAGACGGGCACAATTTGGTGGAAGGTTCATGCATGCCCAAAACTACGTAGCGCACGATGACCATACATCAATTTTAGGTAACAAAGTATTTACATATATGCTACATCATTTTAGTGTTGAGTAAGAACTAATATTTTGCTATACTATCAACATAGAACCCCTACATAGTTTAAAACAAAGTCGCTATCCGCCGTCTGTCTGTCCCTATGTATGCTTAGATCTTTAAAACTACGCAACGGATTTTAATGCGGTTTCTTTTAATAGATAGAGTGATTATTAAGGAAGAGGTATTTGTATGATATATTCACTTTGCAGCCGCGCGAAGCCGGGGCGGGTCGCTAGTACTAAATATTATGGCACATTACTACGACTACATTACACTTTTAAAATGGATATTGGGAAAATTATTGTTGTCTAATTTTAGTACGTAATTACTAGGTCCTTTGAACTTCTTACCAGAGTTAGTGGCTATCATTATGGTAAGAACGTCTCAAGACAATTTTTTTTTTTTGCTAATTTTGTTCTTCATTTTGAAGTTGACAACTTGAGATCATTATGAACCTTAATGCACATTGAATTTGGTTCCGTCAACGCATGGGGTGTCGTATTCTGTAAACAATTAGTATGAAGTATCGAAGCGAAAACTCGAAACTTCGTACTAACTATTCGAGAGTGTTTTCTTTCGGAATGAGTTCTTTCGCTTATTTATATGAGCTTCGATATCGAATTAGTGTGTTACAAAATCGCACTATTGCAACCTTAGTACATTTTCATAGAAATTGAGATGTCAACAAATGAGAATTACGTCTCGAGTGATGTGAAGTATTTGCAATGTGATATTTTCTTACTGTTCAATAAAATTGGACTTTATTTATCTAGGACATAGCTTTATAAATATTTTACAATTAACTTCCTTTTCAGAACCAGGCCCTATGAGAAGATTCGGTGATGTATCAGTACCTCAGTACCGACCCGTATTGACTAGAAGTGGATTCGTTTTCTCCCCGTCTCTGTATCCAATGCAGCCGGGGGCTTCATTGTTAGAGCGGTTGGCGGGACGCTCGTTTTTCCCTCACATTTCTCCTCACATAAACATGGGGCAGGAACATTTTCACAAGCAGCGAAAAACGGAGACTAGAGTAATTTCAGTACCTCGGTATGAAGATTCAAAAATGATGGATGATTACAATGACTATGGGCCAAATACTAACACCTACTCCTACACCCCAGTGAGGAAAATAACGACGCAAGCGCCCTTGCATCAAATCGCCGCTCCAAACAAATTCAATGTTTTTCAAAAACTAGCAGAAGCCTCAAATCATCCTCAGCCTCTAAGAAGATCATTTAACGACTTTTCCAGTTCTCAAAGACAATATTCTGATAATTATGGACCATATGGACGAAGAATGTATTAAAATGTAATAAAAGTGATGAACCGTATTTTCATTTCAGTTTAATAATGTTTAATTTTAGTAGGTAATTTACTTGTAAAGTTTTTATTATAGAACGGTTGTATTTCACATACAGAAAAGGTCACATTAGGTGCGGTACAGGGGGTGAATTTTTTACTGGCTATATGGCCACTATGAGGGCAAATTGTTCATATATCCAATTGACATATAAAGTTAGCAAGTGATTATTAAACTTTCAATTCTGTCCACATTAGTTCGTAGCATTACAAATTGGGTGATAAATTATTTCAAACTTGATTCACCACCACAGCGGAATTGCTGAGGAATATTGGCACCATGCAATATGAGCAGTTGACGCATCACATAGGTATTTTTAAAGTGTGGTTTATATATGGTGCTAAATCAAAGGGGACCAGCAAACTTTGGTTGGATTTGGCCTCAATGACGAAAATGAAATACAAATAGGTTTTCAAGGACTAATAATAGTACTCAGCGCTGTGTAATTAGCTTTTTTATATAACTCGGGAGATGTCAAATATTGCAGTTTGTACCTACTTAAAAAGTTTTAGTGATTTTAATGTGAATTGATACTTACAGAATGTTGAATTTATTTTCCATAGCTGCGTCAAGGATCACGGATTTTAAAGCAAAAAATACGAATTCAAGAATATTTTTAGTGAATATTTTTATATGTTGTTGCGGTCTTGTGCCATAAAAATACGGTTTTAAATAAAACCTTGCTTGCCCGTTCGTTTGTTTCGGTCAAATTCAATAATTGTAAATTCTATACCCCTCGTAACAAAACATTGATCAGGATTATTGGTACACAACCTGGATCTTAAAGACCATAATTATAATAAAACTAGCTGGCCCGGCAAACTTCGTCCCGCCTATAAATGTTTTTCTCAACTTTTAAACCTTCCCTGGACTCCCACGAACATTTCAATACCAAAATTACCAAAATCGGTTCAGCCGTTCTTGAGTGTTAGCGAGACTAACGAACAGAAATTGATTTTTATTTATAGAGATTATAGACTCATCTTACTTCTGAGAATATTTCTGTGCTTCTGAGCGATATGTACAAGTTGTCCTCGAGAGTCATCACGAATCATCTCGCAAGTAGGTTGATGACTTCTAGCCTCCAGAACAAGCCGGTTTCTGGAAAGACTATCTACCATAGTCCATACACAATGTCCATACGTTGCGGCAAGTTATACAGAAGACCGAGGAGTATAACTTGTCACTATGCTTGGCGTTTGTAGACCATAAGAAGACCTTTGATGTGATCGATACTTGAGCAATGTGAAGGTCTCCTTTGATTTGAGGTTTTGAAGTGCTTGTACAAAAATGCCGCCAAAACGTGAAGGATACTTATTCCTTTGCGAGGTGTAGGTAATGATAGGAGACGTCATATCCCCAAAGCTGTTTACTACCCTATATTGGAAGACGCCTTCAAGATCTTGGAACGGAAAGGATCTAGCATCAACATCAACGGCGAGTAGGTACCTACATCACTCACCTCCAGGGCTTCTTGCAATTAACATGGTTTATACAAACGTGTAACCTGCCTTTGGATTTATGACGTCGAATTTAAACAATGTGTAGGTAATGCATTTAACATGTTAGGGCGTATTAAACCATTTATAATTTGTTAACGACTATTTTTACGCCCTGAGTTATTATAAATTATGGTCATTCCTACATCATAATAAAACTACAAAATAAAAACATTCGGCTTTTAAATTAAAAAAGACTGTGCTGGCCAAGTATATGGAGTCTGGACCCACCCCTCAATTGGCGATGCAAACTGCAAAGACACTAACTAGCGCCTCTAGTGTCAAAATTATGAAGCTGTCTAAGAACGAAACTTGACAGTTTTCTACATCTACCTATACAGAGGAAAGATTGGATTTTTTGTTTGTTTGTTTGAATGGAATCTCCTCCGAAACTACCGGACCAATTTGAAAAATTCTTTTACCGTTGGAATCCTACATTACCGATGATGATCATAGGCTATATTTAACAAAAGAGAAAAAACGAAACCGTTTGAAAATTTCGCTAATGTAACCCGATTTGTGAAAATACCTACTACCAAAAAAACTCCATATTGCTTAAGCCTTTGACTGCCAATAGGAAACTGTTTTCAAGGACTAATAATAATAATTAAGTTGCATCAGAATCAGAGACTTTAAGGAAAAAATAACTGCCTACATTTTATTCATCGACTAGCTTCTGGCGACGGTTTCGCCCGCGCTCTTTTAAAGTAGATAGTAGCAGGTTTGGAAAAGATAAAAAAGAATTGATGCACTATGTTTTGCTGGTCAGAAATATAATACGAATTTCAGTTTTCTAGAAAATTACGAAGTGCTCCATACAAACTTCCACCCCTGCTTTAAGAGAGTGGTGGGTTAGAAAGAAACAAAATAGATATCACTGCTGAGTAAATCTGAGAGGGTTTACAACTGATCTTTCCTCTTTCCATACAGGAAGAAAATTTATTTGATTCATAATATTTTGTCTTTTGGAAATAAATGAAAACTTATTACCGAATCTCCGTAAGTATTACATTGAGGAACGCATAAATATTTTGTGTTTCTGCTTTTAATAAAAACAGGCTTCTGTATGTAGGTAATCTTTGTCAATTTGAGTATGTTTAAACTTATATAATAACCTAAACTCGAAAGCAAAGTGTCGTTCTTAGACAATTTCAAAATTTTGCCGCTAGAGGCGTTCAGATAATCTTTGCATCGCCAATAGCAACATGCTTGTGAACAAGTAAACGCGAGCAATGTGCTAAAATAAACAATCACGACGAAGAATGGTATTGTTATGCTGCAACATATCGCTCACATCTATCCTTCGACAAATGCTTTTAATTTGTCGTTAGTCTAGGTACGCATTAGGTTTTGTTTAATGTGGATTTTAAGATTTATTAAATTATTGCATGCCTATTAGCTGCAGGCTATAGCATGTTTTACCATCATGGAATAGTAAAATCTAGTTCACCTTCACATAATCTGGTGTTTTATATGAAACGAAACGCATCCGGTAGTGAAGTGACGTATACAAATAATTGACATTGACATCACATGATTGACACTATTGACAGTCATACAGTTACAGTGACAGTTTTTGTAAAATATTGTGAGGTGATTTTGTTTGTTTTGAATTTGCTGAATTTTATTGAATTATGTTGCTGTGAACCAACTAAGATATATAATAATTCTACCGTCAGAAATAAAGAAGAAGGTTTTGACACTTTCAATAGGTAGTAATAATCGTCCTTAATGATAAAATTGCTATTTTTAAGAGGTAGCATAATTTATTATAAGTATGCTATGTAGGTTGTTTCAACAACAGCCTACTATGAAATAAGACTAAAGGACCTAAAATATATCATATCTAAGGCTAGATAATATACTATAACTCTACAGCCCACTCTCGATAAAATATGGACCTACCTTTTCCCTTAGTCGACTTACCCACGAAAGAGCTGGGGTAGTGAAACAGCTCCTTACATGAATATATTGTTTGCAGTTAAAACTTAAAGATGGGAAAGAGATATGTTTGTGACTATTGCAACAAGGTAATGGTAGCAGCTCCGGCTATTGTGAAGACACATAACAAAGGATTAGTCCACCAAAGGCTAGTTCAGGAACACTACCATCAGTTTAAAGGTAAATAAAATAACTCCCACTAATATTATAATCTTATACTTATTATATAAAGCGGAAGAGTTAGTTTTTTGTTTGAACACACTAATCTCCGTAACTACAAGTCCGATTTGAATAATTCTTTTTGTGTTGGATAGCGCATTTATCGAGAATGGCTATAGGCTAAAACATCACGCAACGACACACATTGTATTCATTTAGAATAAAAAAATATTTGAATAAAAAACAGCTACTTCGAAATAATTTCACTTAGGGCTTGTTTCAAATGTCTGAACAACCACCATATACCAGATAATTTCAAATATAGAATGTAAATTGTTCAAATTATTTGCCACTTCAATCTACATACATACTCCAATCTATGTTGATTGTGGCTAGTAAGCAATAGGTGCCCGTCATGCACGCCTGCAACACCAATTTGATTCTGAACATTTTTTTTGTCCATAACAGTTAAGTAACTTTTATGAAGATGTGTATTTAATATTATTCACCTCCTCGTTGGTCGAGCGATTGCAAGTGCAACTACTGCCTAATGGTTTGAATCCCAGGTCTGGCATAGTATTACAGCACGGAGTCTGGAATTGCGCCGGTGTATGGCAATAGGCTCAACCCCTATTACATGGGACTCATAAATAAATAGTGAAAAGTAAGTTTGTGTTACATTGTACAGTGTCATTAACTGCCGTGACGTGCACCTCTTCACCCCTTCGGGCATAGTAGGCGTGATGTTGGGTGTTTATTTAACCCGTTGAAATCCATCCCCTAAATTTGGTCATACAAAAGTAGTCTCTAAACATTACAAATAAGGTCTATAATGTAATGTAATATTAGTGGAAAGCGGTCACCGGTGACCGCTTGGTGATTTATGGGTTAATGTTAACTATATGACTTTTCAGATATAGAGACAATACTAGTTGAAGAAAGTAAAAAGAAGCCATGTGTAAGATTTGCAAGTGGAGAATGTAAATTTGGCAGTATATGTCATTTTTCACATTATACTGTGGAGCAAATACGAGCTATGGGAGAATATGGTTTGTATCTATTTTTGTTATAATTAACTACCTTTTGCCCACTACAACGGATGCGTTAACCCAATAAGTGGAGTGTCTTATGCGCCAACCCATGGAGTGTCTTATGCGCCAACCCATGGAGTGTCTTATGCGCCAACCCATGGAGTGTCCTATTTATTCTTCCTTTTACCTTCTATTTTTCTTCTATTTAGTTAGGTATACAGGATGTAAATGCTCTCGGAAAAACGCCAACAGGTGATGGTAAAAAACAAGTCTTATTGTCATAAAAGTAAGGAATTAAACTGTCAAACACCAAGCGGTCACCGTTGACCGCAACCTATTGTTCTATAATTGTGTCTACAAAGACGGTACTCAACGAGTTAAATTTTTCTTTTATGAAATAATAGTTGTTAACACCTGCTCACGGCTGATGTTCCAGCATTCTGTTGACACTGTATAAAATTCTTCTATTACTAACTATACAAATGTGACATCTTTTATTCGTAGAATGAGTAGGTTACCTAGACACCCAGATATAACCGACTTCTAAAGAAGGTTCTCATTTTGGCCTGTATGTATAAATGTTTTTCTTTCTTCTTTCTATGGGTTTGTGCGCGACCATATCGCGATTGGCTGAATCAATCTTGATGGGTTTCTCACAAAAGTGTCTATTACATTTACTTGCTTAGGAGAAGAATTTAGTATATTAATTAACCGATTTAAAAAAAATGGTTGAAGTTGAAGTTGGCTTTTTAGACATTGATAAATAATCGCCTTATTGGCTGATTGGTCGGAAGTGCGACTGCCGGCCAAGGGTTCTCGGGTTCGATTCCCGGGTCGGCCAAAGTATTACTGGGTTCTTAAAAAAATCTCAGTAGTAGCACGGAGTCTGGAAATGTGCCCGGTATAGGGCAATAGGCTCACCCCCTATTAAATGGGACTCATAATATAAATACTGGAAAGTGGGTGTTACATTGTACAGTGGCTAATGTAGGTACAGCTCTGCCTACCCCTTCGGTGTATGTGATAAATAATTATCTGCAAATCCATCTTAACTAGTCTATTCATTTTCCATTTCAGTGGCATCAAAAAATCGACCAAAGGATGTCATATTCCCTTCGTTTGAAGAATTAGTTCTAAAATTAATGGATGAAAAGTCAAACAAGCTCCAAGATTCAACCGATGGCACCACAATGATGTATGATAAAAATGGAATCACACACACTTTCCCATGGACTTACAACAGTATTCTGGATAACTACCCGGACCAATTGCCACCAAGCATAAAGAGACTAAAAATAGAAGATTTTACCGATGCTAAAATTGAAACTTGGGGTTGATTTATTAATAGTAATTAGATAGGCCCAGATGGAAATGAAAGTGGACTGTATTTCAAAGGTATACAACATGTAACGTAATTAATGCACACCCTTAAACACCCCAATTAGAATATAATGTTATGATCATAATACATACACTAAATTTTTTATTTAACATGTATATGCATCCTTACTAGTCTTGTCATAAGGTTTATTTTTCTTTATTTTGTATTGAATGATAGAATTTGTATGAATACATATAAAACTGCGATTTTAAAAGTCTTCTTGCTTTGACTCACATATGACAATAATTTGTGTAGCATTCATTTTTTTTGGGATAAAAATTACCTATACTAAAAATTATATAAATCGATTCTGAACAAACTATTATCAGGATGTGCGTTATTTAAGTTACATGTTGTATATAAGGTGTTGTACAATGGTCTAAAGTTATAATAAAATCATGCGATCGTGGTCGCGTTGTTGTAAGGAGTGTTGAGAGCGCACGGGTCGTCGCCAAGCCGTCGCGTTACCAAGTCGGAGGTGTTAACGTGTGCGGTAACAGTAATAAAAGTATTCATATCGAGGGGTTTTTTATTTAAGGGGGGAAAATCATCGAATGACTGCTCCCGCCTGGGTGAGGCGGGACGGAGTGTCAGACTCCTACTGACTAAAAACCACCCCGTTCCTTCTGCACGTCGATTCGGAGCCCCGGTTACCCGTTAGGTTCTCCGCGACTCATATCGAGGGGTAACGGATTATTTGGTTTAAGCGACATTTTGGGCGGTTATTATGTATATTCGACGGAGAAAAATTCGCTGATTAAGAATATATATATCACTCAATATCGCCCAAAATGTCGCTTAAACCAAATAGTATATCGATATCATCTTACTTTATGCTAATATTATTAACGTTTCGCATCGTTTGTGAGTTTGTGTGTTTTGTTACCTACTCAATCATATCAAAACGGCTGTAGGGATCTGGTTGATAGTTGAAACAGGGATAGATTATGGTCTAGACTGACACGTAGGTTACTTTTTATCTTACGGAAACGTGGGCGTAGCCGTGGGCAGATACTAGTGTTATTATAATAATAAGCCATGTTATATTGTTATTTATTGCTACTCTTACACCGGAATACTGTAAGACTACTTAATTTTAAATACTTAAATATCGTGCCATCTCGATCATTTTACAAAGAATTTGTATAGACGAACTTAATACATGAACGCGACTTAAAATTGAGTACCTTTCAATATTCCGGCGTTAGTAGTATAAAAGAAATATCTCTTAATTTCACAGCTGAGTACATAATAAAGTACAGCCTTATTGGGGGGTTTTTTTTAAGGGGGGAAAATCATCGAATGACTGCTCCCGCCTGGGTGAGGCGGGAGGGAGTGTCAGACTCTTACTGACTAAAAACCACCCCGTTCCTTCTCCTGCACGTCGAGTCGGAGCCCCGGTTACCCGTTAGGTTCTCCACGACTCCGAATCGGCATCGGCCGTATTGGGCCCCATCTGTGGTGGTCTGATGGCTCTTTGAGGCGCGCGCGGAACGCTCGGCGCCGTACGCTCGGGTCTGTTTCTGGTCGGACGGGGAGCCACCCATGCTCGCCGTCCGCAGGCCCGCGCTTACGGTGGCCGGAGATCGTAGCCTAGATAGATTATAATAATTCTACTTTGGTAAAAATATAAACTGTATTTTCTTTCATGTATCTATTAATTTTAGATATTCATCACCATTATCGAAATTCTGTTATTTCATCTCTATGAATTAAGACATTTTTATTAAAACTTTTATTAGGCCGGTAACGCACTTGTAATGTTTCTGATGTTCCATGTGTCCATGGGCGACGCCGATTGCTTACCATCAGGTGATCCGTCAGCTCGTTTACCGGCTTATGCCATAAAAAAACAACTGTGACAGTCGTTTTTGAGATAGTGGTGTACATTATTTAACCTCAAATATAAAGCAAGAATTTATAAAAAACTGCCTCGTTGGCCGAGTGGTCGCAAGTGCGACTGCCGGGCAAGGGGTCTCGGGTTCGATTCCCGGGACGGATAAAATATTAGGTACTGGGTTTTTAAAAAAATCTCAGTAGTACCACGGAGGTGCCCGGTATATGGCAATAGGCTCACCCCCTAGCCCCCTATTACATGGGACTCATAACATAAATAGTGGAAAGTGGGTGTTACATTGTACAGTGGCATTATGTGCACCTCTGCCTACCCCTTCGGGGATAAAACGCGTGATGTTATGTGATGTTACGTAATTTATAAAAAAAGAATGAAACTAGGTATTCCGTATAATAGTTGCTATCGTGAGATATTCAATAACGGTAACTAGACTAGTTTTTAGAATTGGCTGCACTAAGCTCACCGCACCAGTTGTTGTTCATGTTGCTCATAACTATGGGCTCCGAGCGTATCTTGAAACTAATCTAGTTACCTCGTACAAGCAGTATCTATAACTAAATAACTACATAGGAACTATTTAAAACATCTCAAAGGTATTTGTGCTAATTATAAATTCATCTTATTGCAAAAGAAACAGTCGATATTTGTTTCCATAATGGTCATAGCTTTCTAACAGTCTTGGAAATTCGAGTAGTTCGTATGGGTCCACGCCATGGGCCTCGCAAACCTGATCTTCTATATGGCACGTATGGTATAGATGGATAGTGTATGAATCTAAATTCAGCTGGTATTTCATGCTTCATTGATTCAATCTGTAAAATAAAAATACACGCTTTTTAATCATTGAATTTGGCGTCTCACTATCAGTCGATATGCATGCATAGTAATGCATGGGACCCACTTTTAGTATTGTGACGAGAATATTGATATTGTCTATGGTCGCCATCGACCGTCTATGGTTTGAATCTTAACTCTGTGACATATTAAGCCGTTACACCTTTGGTTAAATAAATCGATTAAAAGTTTTGCCATTGAATTTAATACGAGTTTTATTTATAAATCTGCCTCTAAATTACTCGGCGTACAATGCCAAAAAAAGAAAACGTGTTAATTTACCTTTCCACGGTTTCTTTTTGTGAATGATCGTTGGATTACTAAACTTAATTCCAATATTGGGAGTTTTTGATAAAGATATAATTCTTTTTATATATATGTATATGGTGGGTCAACGTTTGACCTCTATCTCGCCTGGTGGTTAGCGATGATGCTGTCTACAATGGAACACTTAAATTTTACTATTTTTTTTTTTTTTTTTTTTTATCGCGATGGAAATCCTCATGGACTTCCCACGTCGTGGGGACGACGAGAGGGCGTGCCGGACTCATACCGGCTAAAACCACCGCGGTGTTCCTTCACTGCCTGTGACCGTGACCCGGGTTGCCCTTACGGAATCACCACACACTTAAATTTTACTATACTTAAATATTCTTCAACTCCATTTTGCTCAAGGAAATAATTGGGTATTTTCCTGGGTCAAAAATAATTTATTTAGATTTTTCAATCCAATTAAATATTCAAAAATAATTACAATTTCATTCATATATTTGACGATATACTTAATTTTCGATTTATTCTTGCATTTCTTTCAGAAATAAGTGACTTTTTGACTCGAAAATATTATGACGTCATAAGTTAGTTTTTGGTACAATATTCATAGAACAATATCGTTTTTGATGTTTCGATAAAAGTACCTATTGAATTTGATTAGTTGTAAAATACCGTATTCTAAAGGTATTTATTTTTAAGGGGGAAAATCATCGAATGACTGCTCCCGCCTGGGTGAGGCGGGATGGGCATGTCAGACTCTTACTGACTAAAAACCACCCCGTTCCTTCTCCTGCGCTTCCAGCCGGAGCCCCGGTAACCCGTTAGGTTCTCCGGGACTCTGAATTCTAAAGAATGCTGACTTTCTTCTTTCACCAGTTAGTGTGAGTTTTCTCGTGCGCGCGCGCTCAACGCACGTTCGTGTGTATCGCTACGTACTAAATTGTGAATTAAAGCAAAAAGAAACTGAAATAAACAAAAATGGTGCAATGTAAGAAGTGTAATCTTTTTGTATCCTTAGTTAAAGACGACATAGTGAAGTGTAAAGGTGAATGCGGTAATGTTTACCACAAAAAGTGTGTAAACAAAAAGTTTTTAAATAATGCTTTCTGCGACGACTGCCAATTAAATAAATGCAGTCCTAAACAATCTGCAGATGACGGAAAAATTACTTTAAACCCGAGGGAAGAATCTGGAGAGAATGTATTGGCCGAGGTCAATAAGAAATTAGCGGTGATTTATAACCTGGAAAAGAAAATAGAAGACCTGGCCAATAGCGTCGAATTTTACGCTGATATGTATCAAACACTAATGGATTACAAAGAAGAATCGCAGAAGAAAATTAAGGCTCTAGAACAGAAGAATGTGTATCTGGAGAAATGCAATAAAGCATTAGAAGAAAGAATACAAGATCTGGAGGTAAGAGATAAAGAAAAAAACATCGAAATTCATGGATTAGAGAAACACGGAAGCGAAAACACCAAACAAGTAGTTAGAAAACTGGCTGAGAAACTAAAATTGGACCCAAATGATATCGAAGATGCGCAGAGGGTAGGTCAAGAAAAGCCGGATGATACAAAGCCCAAGACTGTGCTGGTCACGCTGTGGTCTAAGTCTGCCCGAAATAACTGGATGCTGGTAAAAAAGGAATCTAAGATATATAATGACAAGGTTTATGATAACGGCAGTGAAAGGAGAATCTATATTAACGAAGATTTACCAAAATATAAGCGACAACTTCTGTGGACGGTTAGGAATAAACTTAAACCAAAAGGTTTTCAGTACATATGGGTCCAAAACTGTAATATCTTGGTTAAAAAGAATAGCGAAGAGAAGAAGATCTACAACATTCGATCGGAAGACGATTTGAAAAAGTTCGACGAATGTACGTAAACAAACGCGTACTTAACGCGGCGCGTAACACACTAGGTGATTTTAGCAGCAACATTCGATCGTATAGATAACATATCCAGTGACATAAATTTTAAAAGATACTCTGATATAACGGCCTTACAGATGGACTTATCCCGAGATTCAATCACCACTAATATACTACACCTAAACATAAGATCTCTTCGAAAGCACTTTAATGAATTAATAGTATTGCTGGATAAAATTAAATATAATATAG